CAGACGCTCTGTCCGTACCTCTCCTTGCTGCCTTGTGCCTGGGAAGAGACATTTTTGCAGTCAGTGGCTCAGCCCACATAAAAACTCTTTGCCCTTAGGAGAAGTGTCGTTCAGCACCGGTCGTGCTGGCACAGCTGCTCCAGCACCACCTTTCAATTAGCTGTCAAAATGCCCGTTACCGAATGCATGCAGCAAGCCACTAAGGAAATCATGGAGGCACCCAAGTGCCAGGCTCTGAAAGAAAAGTTTCAGTCCAACCTGGAGTTTTCAGCCTGCTGCTGCGATTATTTGGCTTTTGTGCTCAGGCTCAAATGAAAAGGGCTCTCCTCCTGGCCTGTCCTCCCTGCCGCCCCTCTGGCAGTGTGCAGATGTTTTCCAGCTTAATGCAGATGATTTCCAGCTTTGCTCCAGGCTCAGTGGAGGGAGGTTGTGGTGGTTTCTGGCCAACCTGCTTGCTAGAGTAGGAGCAGCGAGGGTGACTCTGGAAATGGAGGGGGTGAGAGACTGTGGAAAATCAGTGTGCAATGGAGAGCATTAACTGAGAGAAATTGAGCCAAGAAATAGATATATGGAGAGAAAAAAAAAAAAAACGCTGGAGGAGATGGAGAGGAACTGCTAACAGGATTGAAAGAAATGTGAATGGGATAAAGGAAAAAGATGGTGCACCTTTACAAAGGCAAAAGAAAAGACTAAGAAGAGTACAAGAAAGATGCAGATGGAACAGACACTGTCCAGTGTAGAGCAATGAGGATGAATAAGGGGTTTGCAGCATCTGACATATGGAAAAAGGCTGAAAATTTATTTAGCCTTGACATGAGAAGGCTCAGGGGATCCTATCAGTGTGTATAAATACCTCATGGGGGCAATAAAGAAGAGGGAACCAGACTCTTCATGGTATCCAGTGACAGGGCAAGAGGCAGTAGGCTCAAATTGCAATACAGGGAAGTCCACTGAAACATGAAAAAATGTATATATCTTCTTTACTAAGAGGATGGTCATTAACTAGGGCAAATTGCCCAGAGAGGTTGCATCCATAAAGATACGCAAAACGTTACTGGACATAGTGCTGAGCACTGAGAACCGCTTGACCTGCTCTGAGCAGGGTCAGTTGGAATAGATAATATCCAAAGGTGCTTTCCAATCTCAACCATGCTGTGATTCTGTGACAGATGATGCAAAATAGATTTGAAACATCCAGAAGAAAATGTCAGTCTTCCTGGAATCCCTGTGGGAGCCAGTGAAAACATCTTCAACTGCTCTCTTGGGCTTGAATCAGGTCATTAACAAAGCACATAGGAGATAGAAGCGTAGGAAATTGAAGTCACATCATACAGAGTTTTCAGGGCAAATCTTTTATTCGTGACCTTTAGGGTATTTATTTTCAAAGCTGGCAGTACAGTAGTGTGCCTGCCATGTTAGGGAAGGGGACCATGGCTAGAAGGGGCTAGGGAGCGTTCCATGTGTCTTACCTTGTACAGCATTTGGGATTAACTTTGTGTGTGATAGCGATAACGTGTTCTTGAACTCACCTCATAGTATGATTGGCAGAGCCAATGCCTTGCTTTTCTCTGATTTTACAACTGAAGGTAGAGCTCTGGAAACCAGGTGGGAGAGAAGAGAAGGAATTAATAATCTTCTAGATCAGATTGTGCAATTTAGTCATGGATCACTGTCAGAATAAACAAGGAAGAGTTGCACAGAACAAACCATGGATTTTGGAGTTTCTTTCACAAGTGACCAGAGATACAGGCCACCATTTTAAATTCAATCCTGTAAGTAAAAAATTGGTACACACAGCAGGTTTTTTTTGAGTAGATAATTTCTCAGCTCAAATAGTTTAAATAAAAAATAAAAACTTTGAAATCCAAAAAATGGAAGCCGAGTGGGGTTTATGAAATAGACCTACCACTCTTGTGTCTTTTAACATATCTCAATATGTTAAAAGACACAAGAGTGGTAGGTCTATTTCATGTTGGAGATCCATTCTCATTTGACCTACATCACTGCTTTTCAATTCTAATAGCGAAAAGAAACCACAGAAACACGAGCCCACTTTTAGAATGAGTGCCTAGGTAAGGCAGAATCAGGTCCTAAGATTCCCTCCTTAGAAAGAGGAATGGTAAAGAAGAGGCAGATGGAGATCTGCAGAAACTGTGAAGGGCATAGAGAAGGTCACTGAAATACTCCATTTTTACCCTCTTCTGTAATATTTAAATGGAGTGGTACTTGATGAAATTAAAAGGCAACAAATTAAAAATAAATAGGAGGAAACACTTTTTAATGTAAAGTATAATTAGCCAATGTAGCTCATGGCTGCTGACTACTACTGAAGCAGATATTTTAGTCAGATTCTAAACAAAAGATTCAAATGAATAAGCAAAGCATCTGCAGGGACACCACTGTAGCTGAGAAAACAATTATAAGGGCAATCAGTCCTTATGCTTTAGGGCATAAGCAGATCACCAGCTGGGGTCAGAAGCACAATTTCCCCCCATGGTTGCGGAATAACTTAATTAGACACATTGTGAGGATTTATCCAGCATGGACTACTGCTGGAAGCAGAATAACAGATTAGATGGACCATTGACCTGCTCCAATATGTCAACTGTTTATCTCCAAGTCTCTCAGAAAGGGAGAGGGAAATTTTTTGCCTTATGTTGTACCTCTTCCCAGAAGGCCTATAGTCACTAGGCTCACATGGAGATTCATCTGTCCATTTCATTGGGTTCAATAAAGCATTTTCCTAAATCCCACAGATCTCTGTTGCATTTGAATATAGGACACCATAGAAAGTCTCTTCCTACTCTATCTGTAAGATTCAGTAAAGCAGTGATGGGGGCAATCAGTGTATGTTTAACTACAGCAATGATTGCACAGATACTTTAGGCCTTTGTGTTACCTTTATTTTCCCCTTCCCAGATGAGTGAGTCTTTCCTTAATCAAGGAATAGAGCAGTGAGGAACAGAGGGGGTGGGAGGGAGGGAAGTGTACTAAATCAGCCAAGCAGTGATTATTTCCTTTAATCTTTCTATTTTATCATTCCAAGCTTAAAGCAAGCTTTTCTCGGGCATGATGCTTTTATGAAGTTTTCCTTGACTCTTTTCTACCTGGTTTGAGTGTGTCAGCATGATGGTGATTTTGCTAAACTGTGTTACCCTGGGGATGTACCAACCATGCGAGGATATGGACTGTCTTTCTGATAGATGTAAAATCTTACAGGTAAGCAGATTTCATTCCTGTCATGATTGTGGCTCTGTACAAGTTGCAAATGTCTGTTTCCCTTTCATGTGTGGTCAGCACCTTCCCAGAAAGGTTGGCAAGAACATCCCTAGCAGCAAACTGTCTTGTCTTAAAATGGCAAGACCTTGCTCTAAGGAGTGGAATAAGGAGAGAGAAGGATAATGAGTAAAGTCTATTTGTGGCTAGATAATACAGAACCTGCCTGATTCTATGCATATCCAGAGTGTTCCTAACACAGACAGCTGCAAGACACAGCTCAGAGATATTCAGGGAGAAAAAAGTAAGTTGTAGCCAGCAGGCAGGAGAAAATAGGAGCCCCCAGTGGTTTGCCTCTCCCCTGAATAAGCAAGGGTGCTCCTGAGTCTGAGGACCAAGTGACATGCAAGATACTCAAAGAAAGAAGAAACAACAGGTACACCAGGATGGTTCATGGGCACATTCCAGCCCCTTAATGCACCAGCTGTGCTAGCTGCTTCCGCAAAAAGAAGGTCTCGGTAAAGACTAACCTATAACATTACCTAGGTGTGCTCCTCAAGCTGTGTGTGAAACCATGCTACTGTCTCAGCCATGCCACTGGTACAGAGGTAGTGAGGACTAGACAGGTAGTGAGGACTCCTTCCTGAGAGGCCTGGAAGGACCTTCCCAGACATGTTCACATCTGCTAGTCCTGAGCTAAGAACTCTGTTCAATCCTATGTGGGCAGGTGCCGAGTCTACATTGATTCATACAGCCCTGAAAGAAAAACCTCTGACTTACTCGCTTCTTCTCATTCTTTTCCGCTATGGAGTTCAGATTTTCCCAGTTGTCCTTATGCCTGTGTAACTGCTTTTTTTAGCCACATAATGTTGTCACCGTGTAGGAGCTCTGCTTCAACCTGCTGTGAGGTTTCACACAGCTCTGCAGACCCACAGGTTGGCCACTCCATTTGCAGACAGCTCTCAGTCCCACCAATTCTTGGTCCACCTGGACTTACAAGCCACCTCATCCCTGCTTGTGCACATTATGTATATTCCCCCGTTGCTAATCTTCTCTGTCCACATTCTCTCAGTTCCCCCCATCTGTGCCCATTTATGCTAATGCAGAGTTGCAATGGGGTGCATAGGGAAACCGGGGTGCTGGGACAGCAGAGCTTGCAAAGGCAGAGGGCATGGCAGTGAACGGAAGGGAGCTGCGATGCCAGGGCTGTGTGGAAGAAACTTGCCCAGCCTCTCTTCAGGCTTGCCCATAATTAACTTTCAGGAACACTAAAATTTGTACTTATCTGACATGCTACATTTTGAAGTGCAAAGCTAAGGATGCATGTTAAACTTGCTCTTGGTTTTCCATTTGGCAGGTATTTGATGATTTCATCTTCATCTTCTTCGCCATGGAAATGGTGTTAAAGATGGTGGCCCTGGGGATCTTTGGCAAGAAATGTTACCTTGGAGATACCTGGAACCGCCTGGATTTCTTCATTGTCATGGCTGGGTAGGTTCAAGTTTGGACGTTTATTTGTTCTGTGTTTTTTGGAATCTTGCATAGAACAAAATTAATTCCCCAACACAGGAGTACACAAAGGTTAGTGGCAAGTACAGATGTGCTTCCTTTTGTGTCCTCCTCATATACTGATAGAAGGTCAGGGTAAACCTGCACAAAGGTGATGAAATTGCTCTTGATTTACCGTGGAGTGTGACTGAGGGGAAAGTTTAAACCCTGATGCTGCTCCAGTTAGTTCTGTGGAACTGGTGTCAGCCGTCTGCTGTGGTTAGTGCAGAGAGAAACCGGTAGACAAAACAGCCTAGCTCCTGGCTCATGTGAATCAGCGTAGCTTGCAAAGCTGAAAGAGGGGCTGCTAATCTGCACCAGCTGCAGAGCTAGACCAGAACCCTTTTTCATTCTAAATAACTGAATGAGAGTGTTATAACCTTCACCTGAACCAAGCCAACATCTCTGTTTCCAGCAGCAATGCTTTAAAGATGGAATGTTATTTTTGCTACTCTGGGCTTTTGTCTTCACGTTGCATCGGCCTCACTCACAGTACCACTGGGACAAGTTGACATTTGAGTGTTTTTTGCTACAAAGTTGCTATGGTGAAGCTCTGAGTTCCACTCTGCCTGTATGAAGCAGAAAGACTACCAGAATTTGCCTATTTGAATCATAGAAAAATGTCCTTCTTTGCTACAAATAAGCATGTGCTTTTGGGGATGTCTCCATTTTCAAATAGACTGCCGTGTGATATAGCAAGAAAAAATGTCAGTGAGAAAAAAAAAATTGCTGTTCTCACAACAAATGAGTAAATGAATTTATTGTGAGATTGTTCTCATAACAAACAAGAATGAACATCTTTTTGGAGAAACCCTCATTTCCCTCTTCCTTCTGGCAAGGAATTACCAGCTTTCACTGTCACCTGGAAGTCAGGGCATCACTCACTGAGCCAGAAGTGAGTTCAAGATTACTTTATAGAGCTTTTCCCTGAGGTGGAAAACAGCACACTGTGTGATGCGTTTGTTTTTGACATGCTTCTGCTATAGCAAGACTTGAAAGTCATTTCCTCTGGAGGGGTGTATACCTGTTTCTTTATGGAGGAGCTGAGACTTTCCAACTTAGTTCAGCTGTGGTCTAAGGTTGAATGTTGCTTCTTGGACATGAGCTGGTTTGTAAGTGAATGAAGGACAGACAGAGGAAAACTGTAGCTGTAGTCTGAACTCCTGTCTGAAAAAAAAAAAATAAACACTGGTGCAGGGAAAATGGGACCCTACCTTGACAACCTTGGGCAAGGAAAGGGAAAAAGGGATGTGTTTGCAACCTCGGAGTACATCGTGCTCCCCTGTGTGTGATGTACAATGTGGTTTGCTGAGTGGGAGCAGGACGGGCAGCACTGCTGCTGCGGGGCGAGAGACTAGGAACCTGGGGCACGGGGTTCACTCTGGCTGGTGCACATAGCATATTTCATGAACGGTGTTATCTGGGGGGACAGAGAGGTCAGGAGAATGAGGGAAATGTAGGAAATCTATGCTGCCTAAATTAGATGTGAGTTAGTGCCATTTGCATATATTTCTCTCTGCTGCCATTGCTGGGAGAAACTCTAGAGCATAGGAAGTCTTTTGTGTATCTGATAGCGGTGCAGGAAAAGCAGCTCATCTCTGAACTCCTCTAAGTGCTAAGGAGACTTAGAATCAACTCCATAGATATGAAATAATCACTGTGGAGTATTTTTCATTTCAGGTCCATGACTGAAATAAATTTGTTTCCTGATTTCTATACAATCGCCTCATGAGACGTCAGGCTGAAATGATAGTAATCTCATTAGAATATCTGATCTCAAAAGACTTCTGCTAAAGAAAGATTTTTCCATTTAGTGATATAGAACTAATGACTATATAATGTATTTTGAGTTATAAAAGCTTGTGGTTATTAATTCATTATTCTTTGAAATTCATTAAATTTGTCTGCACTGTTTAAATCAAATCCAAGCACAGGCTCAAAATTGTCCTTACACACAGAGCATAGGCTTTTATTTGACCTCAGAGTCAAGCCTTGAGTTTTATCCTGATTGGATCCATTCCCAAATCATGACTTCAGCCTCTCTGGGTCTAAATGCTGCCTTGGCCTTTTGACTAACAGAGTACATCCTTCATCAAGTCTACTCTGTTTTCTCCATATCAGTGAATTAGATCCCGATCAGTGTAAAATTCACTTTTTTTCCCCAGGGCCTTCTCCTTTTCATAATCCTACACTCTCACTGACTTCAACGGGATCATAAATTTGGCTCTGAAGAAAATGGCTGTGATGTTGGAAGGTGAAGCAGTACCTAGGAGTCATGCTGCTTCTTTCAAATTCAAAAAAAAAGAAAAAAAAGAAAAGAACTATACTTCCCAGCCCTGTCTCTCCCCTCTCCCTTCCCAAATTAGGTCAGAAGCAGCACTCCAAGCCCGGCAGCGAAGTTTGGTAGAATACCCTATAGCCGGGGAAAGCAGAGTGCAGGCTAGGGACTCTTCTTTTGGGTGCTCTGGATGGCTGAGATACTTCCATCTGGCTTTCTGTGTGACAGCATGTTTTATCAAACAGCATAATGATTATTTGCTGTAATTGCCCCAGACGGTGTTTGGTTACATAAACCATGTATTTGGGCATTCATTTGTAGTTTTCTCCTCGCTTCCCTTGAAAGCCAGAAGCTGTAGTGTTAGTTAACTCAGTCCCCTTGTGTGCCCCTGCCCTGCTTGCCCCTGCCCGCCACGCAACCCGGCAGCTCAAGGAGGAAGACACCACTGTCACTAAAAATGTTTCGTATCCATGGCAATAGGAGCTGACATCCCCAGAACTTTCTCCCCTCTCGCACAATCCCTCTTCCAACCACACCAATGCTTTTTTTGCCTTTTTTTTTTCCCAAAAAAGATTAGGGAGAATAATCCTACGTCAGTGTTCTTCATTGCTCCCCTTGGATCTCCTAAAACTAAGCCAGGTAATTCGGATTGAAGAATGCCAAAATGCAAAAGCTTACTATGTTTTAAAAGCCAAGAGAATGTGAGCAACAAAAATCACATTGCAAACTTAGGCCAGTGTCACTACATGAATGAATGTAGGAGAAGAGTGCTTATTTGTGGGCTAACACTCACCAACTTTTCCAGTCAGACAGCTCTCCAACAACAGAGTATTTCTCTTGTCCTCACTACTGTGTGTGTCACTTGTGTTCACCCCCCTAGGAGGGAAGATGCCCCTCTATATGACTCAGGATGGAGGGATTCACACAAGGAATGCATTCATACAAACTGCCTCACCTTGGGGGCATTAATCCCTAGGAGGGGGTGCCTGTTGTGCCTCTCCTGAGCTAAGTGCTATAACTAGCTATATGCAGTGGAGATTATCTGCCTTTGCCTTCTTCTGTGCCATTGCACAACACATTTCATCACAGAATATACTCCTATAAATATGCAGGTATGTTAAGGATGAGGAGGCTTCACTGTTTGGCCAGAGGGGTGATTGTGATCACAAGCCTGTGCCCCCAAACCTTTCCTTAGTTCCTGCTTGGAGTCCAGTGGCTGAGGACAGTCTTTGCTATGTCTTCCAGAAAATGTCCCATATTTCCCTCCCTCCAGTATCAAACTTCAGTTTGCTGCACAGATCTCGAACTGTGATCACATCACATCCAAACCTTGCTTTTGATGAGACAAGCGGCTTGACTTGTGCAGTTTTGCATTTTAAAATACATTTGTTATATTTTATAGACACCAGAACAGGACACAGTATTCCATGTCATCACTTTTGTGCCTTATACACCCGTAATACAGTCTCCCTATTCCAGTCAATTTCCAGACAATATTTCGCCAATTCTACAGCCAAGGATTGCAGTAGCTTATCTAATTGACAGTGAGAGCATCTCACTGTGAATTCAGTCAGCTGCTTTCTTCATTGACTCCAAGTTTTTTTATTATTATTATTTTTTCCTCTCGCTCTCCTGTCCTGTAGAGAGAAAATCTCTTCCTGTTAGTAGGGACAGCAATCTTTGTTCCCAGATGTATGGTTTACACTTGTTCATATTGAAATACAAAATACTTGCATTTCCAAGGCAGCTCATACTGTTCTATATGGATGACTTATCCTCTTCATTTCTTTTCTGTTCTCCCAAAATATGCATCAATTGCAAAATTCATCAGTGATTTTTTTTTCTTAAATATTTTCTGCCAGGTTGTGATAAATAAATGAAGAACTGAGTGGCAAGAATTGTGCATTACAGAAGTACATCTGCTTGCAAATGATTTCCCATTTACTGTTACATGTGAGGCTTATTACTTAGCCAGTTTTTCTCCTACTAATGTATGTCATGATGATTTCATATCATTGCAGTCATATCAACATAATTACTTGTGTGAAGCAGACTTGTAATCTCATAAGAAATTATAGCACATTTGTTTGATGATGTCTATTTTTCCTTAAAGTTGTGTTGATTATGTTTAATTTCATTATCCACCATTAATCTGTAATCTATCAAAGCCACATATTGGCGATTTCATTACTGAACTGTGATCGTCATCAGTCCAGTCAGTCTAAATATTCATATCACTGTGTTTTTGAAGTACTGGCACAGCATCAGAATTTCTCTGACCCTTGGATGTTTTCCCAGTCCTCTGAGACTGATCAAAAATCATGAGTACTGCTCCAGACCTCATTCGGTCATCTCCTTTAAAGCTCTTGGATGCAGGTTTTCCAGATCTGTTCGTTTTAGCCTACTCTTTTTTTGGTAGGTACAGCTTAAAATACTCAATCATGATTGGAATTGAAAACAGCTTGTTATCATCTATGATATGAATGCATTATCTGATCTTCCTCAAATAACTGAGTTTTTTTTTCCTATTTTTTAACACTGCTTATGACAATTCTGTTCTCTTGTTCCAGTGACCGACCTGTATCATTTCATGTGTCCATTTGATTTCATTACAAAATTTCTAGAATTTCTGTCTTCTAATTTATGTTCATTGATACAAGCTTCT